ACACATCTACATTCCCACATTACTATCAAGGTTCAAATCTGTGAAGATTAAAAAATGAGCTACATACAAGGGGAAGACGATGGCACAATGTGATTATTGTAAAATACTGGAAAATAATAAGTACAAGTGTAAAAGCTTCCAAAGATTAGCAACAGCGTCTACCATTAGTTACAAGTGATATGATAATTCAGGCTCAAGAAAATCATACAAAATATTGAAGTATGGAAGCAAGCCATTTTCCAGACAAAATGTAATGAGATATTAATCTGAACTTCATACTGTACTCAGGTCTGGGGCTATCTTACTTCCAAAAAAAAGCAAAACAAAAATAAATTATATGCTAAGAATCTTCACAGAACTAAGGAATGCTCCATCATAGAATGAAAATATATGTCTTTCCCATATTATTAACAAAAAAAGATTCTCAAAGCCTACAATGTTCCCAATGTTTCAGATCATAATTTTCTCTAAATAAATTGGGGTATATCCTTCAATGAATTACCTATGGTTGTGCCAATATCTTGATTAATATGTGTAAGCTAGTCTGACAGAAGGCAAGTGACTAACCTTAACATTAATAATCACTAAAACAAAAGAAGCTAAAATAATTTTAAAAGACTTCAAAAGTAAATGCACACATAGAAAGGTATAAACTTTTTGCATTAACACTTGAATAAAACTCATCTTTGTTACTCTGCCCATGTTAGCACTTACTATCTTCCATCCTGAAATGACCTGACCAGGTAGTCCTTTTTGGTCTCAATCTTGACAGAGTCTTGGGCTGTTGGAGCAACCACAAGCCCTGGGAACCAGTTGTCCTTCTGCTTTTTCTTGTCCCCGAGCTCCACACAAACAACTTTGCCGATATCTGACTCCCACTCCTCACGTCTCGAGCGATGCCTCTTGTGGACATCATCATCTTCTTCTCCAGAATCTTCACCATCTCTGAACCAGAAAATATAAATACAATCAAGGAAATGAGTATCATGTTTACAATTTGAACACTTTGGGACACCAAGATGGTAATCTACACATTTCTATTATTAATTTCTGAAGTCTTATTAAAAGAAAAAAAAAAAAATCAATTAACATAAATTCAAATATACCCCTTAACAGGTTCCTTATCATTAAACAAGTGTAAATATGACGTACGCATGTGGTCTAGACCTGCGCCCTCGCCTTCCTCCAACCACAGGGGTGCCAAAGTGCTCTGGGTGTGTGAGAGGCAGCTGGTCTAGGGTCTCACTCTCAGCAAAGTGCCTTCCACTCTTCAGGCACAGGGATGTTCGGCGGAGTGTTGTTATGTCACCATCATCAAAGACTGAAATTTTCGTTATGAGGGTATTAGGATGATTAAAACTAGAAACATCAATCAATAAATATAAAATATAGAAGGAAAATTCACTTCTAAACTACTCCATTTTGTCATCTATGATAAACTATTTACAATATAAATCTTCTTTCACACTTAGTGAAAATTATTAATCACAAACTATACAATAACATATAAGTAAATACAATGACCATCAGTCCTGTAATGCCAGCTTCTCAGTTACTCTGTCACTATAAATAGCACGTTACTAACCAAACATACAAAAACATAATCAGAGAAACTCACCGACTGTATACTGACTGCAGTCTTGAATTTTGTTCACAATGGCATCTACAAACTGATTTTTATCTGGATGGCTCGCTTTGACTTGGGCTCCAATTTTCAAAACACCTTTAACCAAGTCATCAGGTACAACAGCTGAGCCTAAGCCTAGTTTAAAGGTTACCTGAAAAGTAAAAAATTAATATAAAGACTATGAATCAAAACTATAAATATGGCAAAATATATATCGCAGAACAAAACCAATATGAACATGACCAAATACAGAATAAAGTTGCAAAAAATATTACTTACTTTAACCTTGACTGATTTGACAACCTTGTGGACCTTTGCCTCACAGAAAGCACCCTTGTACTTGGCTGACACCTCAGTACCAACGGTCAGGAAAGGGGGGTCCTCAGGCTGCAGGTAAAGAAAGGCCATGTCACAAGAGAGGCTTTTCCAACAGAGGTGAAAATAGCTAACAAGTGATCACCACATGTATTAACATCCTATCTCCATATATGGTAAGCTTAGGTCTATTATCTTCATTGGAATGTGGTCATCTTTCCAAGTCATCAAGGGCCTATTACGTGGCCATACGGTATTTGCAATGACAAGCAACGGTAAAGAAACTGTGCAGTTAGGTCACCACTGGGTTGCTCAGTGCAGATGTGCATATCCTTTTTGAGGGGAAAAGCTGAACTTCAAGATTTAATTACCTGTGGTAACCACATCTCAACGAGGGTCCAAGAACATACACAACCTAATGGTTGTGCCCCTGTCTCTCAAGCTGCAAATTATTGTTTGCGAAGAAATTCGTGTTCTCCCTGCGATCGTAACAGAGCTGAAGTTCACTGTATTAAAATTGACAAAGAACCTGAATGAAAGAAGAGTTTTGATTTACAAGGGCTAAAGATGTGTTTGGTCAAAGAGAATGTAGCTGCAAAGATGGTACACTGCATTCAGTAATACCTTCTCTCTACCTCCCTCTTCTTTTTTTTCAACTAATTCTCTTTCCAATAAAAAATAGAAATAAAAAAAATGTAGGTCAAGAACAATCCTCACAAAAAATCCCATGTGATATTCTAAATCCTTCTTTGAACTTTACATACAGAATCGAAACAATCAAAGATAATGCTTAAACAAGAATTTTGAACTTGGCAACAAACTTGGGATTTATTAGCTTTAATTTTAGACAGTAAAGAATGTAAATAAACAATGCTTTTAACATAAAAAATAATAAAATATATGCACTCAGACTCAGCGAAACTGGTCTTGCGTGAGAGAAATGACATCTACATTTTATGTATAAATCTCAAGCAGGAGCTGAGACTGATTGGTATGTCTACAAACATCTGATTATCCTCAACACTAACCTTCTTTTTATGTGGCTGTACAACTGCTCCTTCAGGAATATCCATCCTCTGGAATAGTAGATCCAATGTCAGTTTAATCATACACACTGAGAAAAGTAAATGAGAAGGTAAAACTTCTTTTCTACCGTGTCAGTCATTTCATAAGCTAACTGATGAATACTAAATGTACTTTGCTTCCTGAAAAGTATATGCTGGTGACTGGCAGGAGTTAAGGCACCCTTAACCATTAGGCTTTTCCTAGATATAATTATGGTCTTTCCTATATAGATATAGTTCTTCATAACTTCTCATACCAATACTTCAAAATCAAAAGACAGAAATGTCTGCAACATATAATTAATATAAAATATTAATTCATATACCATCTCATCTTACTTTTCTCGCTTACATTTACCTTTAACAGTCTACATTTAATTGCAGCTGCCTTTGACAAAAATCAGTATTCAGTTTATAACCTACAATGACAAAAAGAGCTAAGCTACAGTATTATTAAATAGACTCATAAATATAAAGAGAAAAAAGCTAACTTACACTATTAGTATGAATCTCTGAACTTCTTGACAAGTAACTGACTTGGGTCAATTATAAAGGCAAGCTTTGCACTGCCATTCCTCTGACTGAAAGACTAGAGCCTCACTGGTACCTTTCATATTTTTCATAACTTTGAATAAAAACAAAACCAAAGGTATCCTCCCCTACAAAAGACAAAAATACTAAGGTTTTGTATATCCTACAAGATTAATGGCAGTCTATTCCTGAATTTCTTTTCTATAGCCAATAAGTATATTATATGTGATAAAAACACCCATTGTAAGCCACTGAGGTATATACCAATTGCCATAGCCTGTTTTTGTCTGTGCTCCAGATGAGGTTTACAATCCTCCAACACTACTTTGACAAGGCAGAACTTGTAAATCTCTCTAATATTGATCATTAAAACAGCACTACACAGATGGACCAGTCCCAAGGTCTATCATGTCACATAAACCATTTTCTGAGATTGCTTGATACTACACCACTTAACAAATTTGACTGAAGACTGAAGGCCTTCCAAGACAGATCATAGATCATAGCAAGTCAATCAGGATTGAACACAATTCAATTATAAGGAAAATAGTATATTCCCACTGGCCTAATGATATCTTTACCACATATACCCAACAAATTTCTCTTGATTGCACTCAACCCAGTAAGTTAGAGTATGGCCATTATTCATTTTAATGTAATTTACTAAAATAATGTTTTAGGACCTACAACAGATGATTACAGATATTAATAAACAAACTCACATTCTCTTTAACTACAATATAGCCCATCCCATAACTTACCTCACAGCTTCCTATATAGGTTATGAATCACTATTTCACATCACTAGTACTACCACAGTCTGCTATGAAGTAGTTCCCTACTTTCTGCAATGTACAATCACAAGTTAACTACTAAGCCAACATATATTTAGTGTTAACCAAAGAACCCGTTCCCAGACACGAAAATGACCGTTTCGGGTAGCCATGGGGCGCGTGCAATGCTGTGATCAGCTGCCTGCAATGAGCCACACTAAACGACCTCAAAGGGTGAGAAAATTCACTCTTAACAAGTGAGGGAAGTATGAAGTTCGTTTCTGCAAAAGGGTGAAGGAAGGAGGGAACTCTCACTGAACTAATTTGCCCCGAGCTTGCCATTCTCGGCGTCTAGATGACTCCTAGATGAATGCCCTCACAATAAATACTTTCCATACGAAACCCCCCACAGACTTTTGATTTTAACTCTAAAATTCTCGACCGATTCCCCACTGAACTAAACTTGGGAGAATTTCTTGCCTCCCAACCTCGGTTAAGTTTTTCGGCGTATTCCGTGATTTTTCCTTGCCCACGGTTATAATTCCCGATCGAGCGACACTTCACGACGTACCTGCATCATAAATGCAGAACAAATTCAGAGAAGAGAGCACGTAAATAGTCAAAAATTCCCGACAGCCATCGTGCACTCTGCTCTCCTCACTCCGCTCAGCCACAATAACAACTTGTCAC